AGCAGAAATGCCATCGCTGCCTGTGTGCCCTTGGAGACCCCTGCCTGGACACTCGGACAAGATACTCCCTCATTGCATTCATTCATGTCGTAGGCAACTGTACCCTCTCTCAAATGATGCATTTTAAGTTCAGGCTCAAGAATGAACTAGTCAAACGCCCCATGTTCAGCGACTGCTAACTTGACAGAGAACTGTAGCCCAAAGTGTTGATCTCATGTTTAAGCCTAATAAAAGCCCAGGTCAGGTGCATGCCTGGGTTTCCTTGGGGACTGGTACTAACAGGAATGGAAGGGACCAATGTGGTAACATTTCTCTAATGGAAGAACAGCAGAGAAACCAACGGACAAAGTGATGATGTCAAGAGAAGCAGTAGGAGTGTCACCTTAAAGAGGAAGCTTGTGGGTGAAGAGCTGGGAGCTGTCAGTATAAAGACATCATCCTTTGCTAACTGAATTGAGGCTGGACTCCCGCGGGCACGGGAGCCAGGCTACCTGCAGCCAGCACGGCCCTGCTCCCCCTGCTCCTCTCTTTGCTCCAGCGGGTCCTGCTGCTTTGCCCAGGCTCTGGAGTTTGAACCTGCTCTGACCCACTTCTATCACTCTGCAGTTGCTGCTTGGTTGTAGCTCCCGAAGAGTTTCTTGAACAGGGGCTTCAGAAGCTGTGTCTGCTGAAGTACTTCACATCACGGTTTTTAACCAATTCTTCTTTAACCCCATTGTTGGCTAAGGTATGTCTCAAAGCAGCAGACAATCTTCATGTGCCAGCTCAATTTTACTTTCACGCTGCAGGCTCACTTTTATAGCAGGTAACTGCTTTAAAACCATTACAGTGAAGAGAGTTTTTAAATCACAAGAACTAGAGAGCAGAAGTCCGTGCTGCATCTAAAAATTGGGGGATTTTTTTGCTTGTAGAGATTACTGTGCCTTGAAGTGACAGATGGGAATGTGAAAACTTTCTGTCATCCTTGAAGATTCAGATGGGCTAATAGAGAAAAAATGTGAAAGGAAAAATCATCATTAAAATGGTCTTGAAAGAGATGACTTACAAATTATTGTCTGTCAGCTTCTCCAGATGGCCTGAGTATCTGTCAGATGAGCAGAATTCATTAGAAGTGCCTAGCCAAAAAAAAAAAAAAAGGCAATGTTTCTTTTTGGTCAGGTCTGAGAATGAAAAGGGAAAAAGTAGAAGATGGAGGGAAAGAAAATATGAAGATATTTTAAAGAAGATTTTTCTCACTAAAAAGTGACTGTACAAAAGGCAGCATTCGGTTCTGGTTTTATTTTCTCTCTGCAGTACATATATCAAGCCTGACCCATTCCTTGTATTTTTCTTTGTGGAAATGTGTTTTCACAATGACACTGGGCTCCTTCCTGCTTCAGAGGCCTCCCAGACCCCTGCTTACAGCAGCGCAGACCCCCTATAACTGCTTTGGCCTGGGCAGTCCCTTTCACAGCATTTGTAGGGTGTAGCTGTGACGGGAGCTCAGGACATACAAAAAAGGAATACAATTTCCAGTGCCCATATAGAAGGTTCTTAAAAAGCCCATGATCAAGGAAAGCCACCATTGGTTTAGTTCCCATTTGAAAATGCATTTTCTAGCAGCAAGACTCTGAGGCTGAATCCAAAGCCAAGTGCCTCATTTACTGCTATCACTACCTCTCTTCATGGATCACACTGGTGGTTTTCCCTGTCAGATTTCTCTGAATCATGTGCTTAGGTTTACCCTACGCAAGGGGGAAGGAAGGACACTAGGGAAGGTTTGGCTTTATTGAACAAGTTTTTGAGGATGCAATGGTCAAATGGGCTGACAACAAAACAAGAATGTGCCATGTAGCAATCGGGCACGCTGTGACCTCAACAAGTGAGAGGAAGGGCTGAGTCTGTAAAACAGGACTTGCTAGCTATGAACTGTCAGGACAGTTAAAGGCAATTAATTTATGGTGTGATGTCTAGATGGGTTATTTAAAGCACATTGGATCTTTGGGTAGAGGCTTCCATTAAAGTCACAGAAGCAGTCTGAGGATTTCCCACCACAGGGATTTGCAAGCTTCCTTTTTTGTACATTGACTTTTGCCGATTGGTCTTGGTCTTTCTGAGTGCAGTCATTTTGCCCATGGCAAAGTCTGGTTAATGTCTCTTGGTTTATTAATCCTTCTGTATTTATTGTTTGAGACTTGCCTATACCCAAGCTATTCTTAGAGATATTAATAGTGGTTAATATTTTACCTCTTGGAATAAAACTGATTGCTGCATGCCACAAATCATTTCTTTATCACTTCATAGATGAAACCTAGATCAGTGCCAGGTGACTTAATATAATTACTGTCCCTTCCCTGCCACATCCACCATATGCAGAACCTGTTATATGCAATTATTTTCTATCACAAGCTCCACTCCAGACAGACAAGATCATCTTTCAAGTGCTAAGTGTTACTAAAATATGATCATGCATTATACCCACAGCAAGAGTGACAGGGAAGGTAGTCTGGGATGGACAAGGATTACTCTGGGTAGTTTACTATTGAGGCATCTACCTTCTGACCCCTGGGTTATAGTTTTTCAATTTGTAAGTGTGGGCAGCTCCTCACTTAGCACATAGGCTGGTTTTAGCTCGGTTTTTGAAGGTATCCAGCTCTTTGTGTGTACTACACAAAGAGCTTAGTGGCTACATGGGATCCTGTTAAATACTTAGGCCAAGCACATAATTCCAGTTTTGCATTGCTGGAACTGGCTGCATTAAGTCAGCCCCTGGCTCTCTCCCACATGCCTCGCTAGTGCATCGAGACAGCCACAGCACTTGCAGTGGCAGTGTTTCACAGACCAGGGCAAGGAACCTGTTTCATTGCTGAATGCAGAACTGATCCAGAAGAGCTGGTCTCTGACAGTGGCAACCCCTCCACTGGTGCATGGCGTGTCATCCAGCACAGCAGCCAAGTGCCACCAGTGCCTCCGCTGCTGGCTGGTCCCATCCCACTGACCGCTTCCCTCACACCTCGAAGCTGCAGCCCCTTTTGTGAAGCTGCTGTTTACGGACTTGTGCATTTCCTTCCCCTTTCTTTTAATGACTGTAGTGGATAATGGCAGATGATAGATGATGGTAATTCAAGCATGGTGGGTTTGTGGTTTTGTTTTGTTGGTTTTTTTTAACTTTCTTAAGGAATGTTCTAGGCATCCTAAGCATTTCAAGCAGCTGTAAAGATGGGTGTGGTGTCCTGGTTAGCATAGCTGGCTAAATACAGTAACTATAGGGCAGGCCAGGATGTGACTCTTGAGCTAAACCAGTAACTGCTTTTTACTGAAGCTGTAAAGTTAACTTAAGGATTTCCACTAGGTTTGCAGCCCTTGGGTTTAACTTAGGTCTTTAAATGGAGGTTGCAGCTGTTCAACAGGTTCTATATTCTCTGTGATTAAACAAATTGTCTGTGAGCATGCATGAATTATTAGAGGTAATAATATTCAGTCTTTTTGCTTTTGCAGGGTCTGATCCACACATTTAGTTGCCTACAAACAGAAGTGGATTGATTAGAAGGGAAAGAAGGGGCTGAAGGGCTTTTGTCCAAGTCCTATTAATGCCATAGTCTTTAAGGCACACTCTACACTTTCAGTGCACAAAATAAGGGAACTGAAATGCCAGTTCCCAACTTCACGGCCCATGCAGACTGAGGCAGTATCGTCCCTGGTGAAGTCATTGAAAGCAATGGGATGGATCTAGCACTGTTACACACACACACACTCATACATATATACATACCTCAGGGCATAAAGCAAAACTTGGGATTTTTTTTCTTACTGAGCAGTGGGCTCCAAGTCTTTGTGTAAGTCTTACACTGAAGGGTAGGTCCCTGAGTTTGGCTCACACCCTGCCTGTAAGAAGTACTGGGGAACACAATTGTTTTGTCAATAGACCTAAATCCACAACAGGCAGATATGCACCACTGCAGGGAAATATTTGAAAGTGAATCAAATCCAGCTGAAAACCACTGATACCAAAGGAGCCTAGCCAATAGCAGCTTTAAGACTCATAAGACTCATGGCCAGTTGGTACCTGTGACAAAAATGGTATTTATAGGCGTAAGCCTTTCTGCCTGATGGCAATGCAGCCCCATGCTCTTGGCACCACCTTTGGTCTCTGGCAGGTTTTCTGTTTGCTAGTGGCATGTGTGAGCTCACCTGTGGCTTTACATGTTGTCCTTCACACATAAACATGCTGCCGCTCATGCTTTCAGGGGTGCATGCTGGCACTGGCGTTAGGCGGCAGTTTCCCATTTGATCTTATCATTGCCATCAGTGCAGGCTGTGAGAAGAAAAGAAGCTGTGGTGTTCGATGGCTGGTGCTCCAGAAATGAAACTCAGCCCTGCTACAGCCCACCCCTGACTGGAGAGCCAGCTGGTGCTGGGCTAGGGAGTCTTTCTGACATAGCACACTCATTGCCCTTATTGGGGTTATTTGTTTCTTGGAGGCACAGCTAATGCTGAGGCTTAGCTGTGACCTGGTTGATAGACAGTGTGGACTGGCTTTGAGGGTGAGCATCGATGTATGAGTGAGGCAGTTGCTCCTTTGGACCAATTTAACATTATAATAAATAAATATAATGAATTTTTGACTGTATCACCAGGATTTTTGTGTAAGGAAGGTCCCAATTCTACTCCCCCAGGATGTTCTCACCTGTCCCCCAATTTAATTTTTCTAGATTTACACGACTTGATCAGAGAGCAGGACTAGACACGATGTCTCTGCCTAAGCAAGCCTTATGTTTGAAGGTGTTTACTCTGGAGAGCAAATAAGAATTTCTGGTTTTGTGAAAGAAACAAGGAAATCTGGGATTATTTTAACAGTGATTATTCATCAATAATAATTTAAATTTAAACCAAAGGTAGAGGCTGAGGCTTAATCCAGGTCAAGGCACATTTTTGTGCAGTATTTTAAAAACCAAGAGTGACATAGCCTTATGCCCAGAATTTATTTTGATTAAAACTTGGCTTTGGACTTACAGAGATGGATGTACAGAAATGGGAAAGAGGGTGTGAAAGGGAGACGAAGAGGACTGGCCAAGGAAGTAAAGAAGCTGTCAAGGCTTGTGGCCGCTGTATCCATTGTAGCATCCGAAGCAGAAAGAGTGAACAGGAACATGGTGTTTGGGAAGAAGAGGATGAGGTGTGTTCAGAAGGTGGCAGTGGAAAGTGCTGTGAGTAATATTCGTGGGAAAAAAAACCTGAACAACAACCTGTTGCTGCAACAAAACCTAAAGGGAGCTGAAAACAAACAGCCCTCTGTGAATGCAATGAGCACTAGACACTGGCCACCTGAGGAGAGTAATTGGCAAGGTGCTGAGTAAGAGTTTGTTCAGGGTTTGGAGGGGAAGCGTTGTTATGCTAATAGTCCTTTCACTTGCCTGCAGTGCTGCTGTTGTGTTCTCCTGAAATAATTGAGCAGGAGGCTTTCCCAGGACCTATTTGTGAGGAAGGGCTGGCTGCCATTTCAGCTGGTCCAATGCAGGTGACTGCAAGCCTGTCTTGCCTCCTACCCCATGCACACATCTCCCTGCCCCTTGCAATGGAGCCCTTTGCATGTTTGCAAGGCCTTCCAGAGAGTCTGTTCAAGGACACAAGTTGATTGAAACCAGCCCAGCCAGGGTGGTTCATTTGTGGCCAGAGCAGCTCCTGAGCTGTGGTCTGCCTGGGCTGGCACCAGGCAGGTCATGGGCATCACATCTGGCATCGGAAGGGGCCAGAACCACAGCATGACTGACCGGGGCTGCCGTTGTCCATGAAGCTATGTCTAACATATGGGTGCTCTTCCTCCCTTCCTCAGCCATCCTCATCCTCAGTGGTGATCTTCTTTTTCTCATTGTGTCCTGCCCATGGGCTGTGCTGTCAGCACTTCACAGCGCCCTTCTTGCTTTAACAATGCAAGTGAGAAAGTCTTTTTTTTTTTTTTTCAGAGAGTCTTAAACTGTCTTTAACAAATGTAGGCCCACTTTTGGCCTAAGTTGTCTTGTCTGAGAAACATCCTTTCTGAGAATTTAATTAGAAGCTAGTCTCATTTACATGGATTCTACCACCCTCTGTCAGCTCTGCAGCCCTGGGGGAAAAAAATCAGATGATACTGTGAAAGCCATTAGTGAGGACATTAGAAGCAACCATATCCAGGTCAGGCAGAGTTCTGAAAATACCTAGCATTCATCTGTTCTCAATTGCTTTTCTCCCTTTACAGCTGTTGGGTGAACGTACCATCTGAGAGGGGGCTGCCTCAGGGATTTATTTTCCATTATGTGATGTAGATCTGGAGAGAGGAGCAGGTAGTGACTGATCAACAAGGAAAGGAAGAAGTAGACTTTAGCAAGAAATTTGAACTTAGTGGAGGAAGATATAAGGAGCTAGTATTGGCCCTACACAAGGACAGATGAGCTTGGGAGGAGCAACAAAGGAGTTGCTGACTTACTTTGCTAACAGCTAAGATGCTAAGAGAAAGGTGGACTTCTGGACTCCAGTGCTGTGTTCGGGTGTGTCTTTGAGCAAGTCAAGAACATAACAAAGTGTTTTCTGTGTCTTACAGGAGCACCAGAAATATGAGAAGCTTAGGTATCTTGATAGTAGAAATGCACAGCAAGCTCCAGACCCTGAGTCAGAATCGCTCTCAGGACTCCTGTTAGTCCACTGTGACCTCCGCAGTGCCTTTGTCACCATACCCAGGGCTTGTTGCACGAGAAGCACAGCACAAGTGCTTTGCCAGGGAGCATATTGTCCTTGTTGTCAAGAGAGGAGAAGTGAGGTGGTATGAGGTCAAGGGACTTGCCCAAAGTCAGCCACTGACAGGTGCAGGGCTTGAAACGTTGTCACAGTGCTGTGCTTGTCTAACAGGTAAAAGACACCACTGCAAACCCACACTGCAAACTTTTTGAGGAGTTGCTTGCCTTTACAAAGTGTCAGGTGCTCCCAGTCTGTTATCTACTTAATGATTCGTTCCCAGTCTTGCAAATAAGACCTGACACAAAGGAGGTAACATTTAAATGCTGTAGCATACATTGAAATGTTCTCTCTAGGCTGTCCATGTAAGAAACTTTGCCAGCTACACCAGCTTTTTGGCAGCTGCTGCAGTGACAGCTGAGAATGCAATATGATAAAAATGCCATTTCTGCAAAATAATCATGGCCCATTGGGTGACTAGCAGCAAGATCTTGTGAGGGGAAAAACTTAGCCAAAACACATCTGTTTGGGGCATCATCAAGGCTGGAGAGAGCAAAGCATTTTGTGAATGTTAAGCCAAGCATGACAGTAAGTAAATGGCTCGAGTGCTCAGTTGTTTTAGCTGAAGTGATTTCAGAAAAGTTTGTGGAGTATGTAGCTGTGGTATGAATTGATCGGGTGACATGAAACCATCCTTTCCTGGCTTTTGAAAGGACAAAAAACAAAGGAAAATGACAACAGATTAGCACAACTGTCAGTTTACTTTTCCTGATAGAACCTTGATAGACCATGGTTGATTGTTGTTTTAATTAATCAGAAGCAATCAGCTTGTAAATGCTGTGATTGACACAGCTACTATTTAACCCCAAACAGTATATGTAGCATTTCTGTAGAGTAGAAGAGGAATCTAAAAGCTCTCAGACAGAAGCTCCAGAAGCTGAGGATGGCTTCTGGTGATGAACTGCCAAGGCTGCCTCCAGCTGTAAACCAGTGTAACAGAATGCAGGGGTAGAAGTCCAAATGAGATTGTACTGTTTTTAGGAGAAGAGATATTTTTTTTTTCCTCTGAGGTTCCCAAATGGCAGTTTGACACTTTGACTCCCAAGTGTCAGCCTGTGTTTAAGCTAATGGCAATTGCTTGTCTAAACTTCTATTTTCTTTTCTCTCAATAGGCTTGTTGATCGGCTCTGGTTGCGCCCTCTATCCTCTTGGCTGGGACAGTGAAGAAGTCAGACAAACCTGTGGTAACCTTTCCAACCAGTTTGAATTGGGTGAGTCATCATCAGAACATCTCAGCCACAATAGACTCTTCTATGTGTTGTCCATAAAAGCAAACAAGGACATGAGCACAGGCTTGGAGAAGCAACCCAGTTATTTGTGGCAGGGTATTCATATTGCATCATTCTGGTATGGTGCTAAGGCAGGGGATTTCAGATAGATCTGCTGGAAATATTTCCCAGAAGAACATTATAAAAGAAAATGAAGGAATACATGTGTGTACGTATGTATATATTTAAGACATCAGATTTAATAGTCTTGCAATACGGGAGCTAACACTCCTGGAGACCTTGACAGAGTAGGCAGAGGCATCACATCACAGCACAGGTGAGGCTAATTCACAATGAGTGCAATTAGCTGTCTTTGAAGTCTGGCGTGTTTATGGCCTTCCAACCCAAGCCTAAAGAGTATGGTTTTGGTTACTCACATCCTTGGGAAGCTGGTAAATAACACTTGCTCCCTATGTCAGCCTGTTCCCAAAAAAAGCCGCTAGTCTTAATGGTGATGTTTGCACTGAGAACTGAATGAGAGCCAGGGATGCAGCCAATGTGGTATGGGGTGAGCCACCTCTAGAGAGCTCATCGGGCTGGTAGAAAACAAGGGCCCAACAGGGAGCTGAGGGTTAAGCAATATGGATAATTAGGATCTGATGTTTGCATGCTTATTCAGGTCTTTGTTTAGCTAGAAGGATCGATGCCGCTGCTGATACCCTACTCTGTAAGTGCACTTTGATCCTGTGTCACTAGAGGAAGGGGTTTTTAGGAGCAGGAGAAATCGAGCACTCTGACCCTCCGCACACTTGGGAGCGCAGATGCACACAGCTCCCCATTTCCAGCCCCTGCAAGCTAAACCTTATGGTTAGTGCTGGGAGCCCTTTTCATAGTTGTGTTTGCAGGGCTTATAGTAGCCTGGCAGTAATCCCAGTGCAATGAACAGTGGACATAAATGGTTTCCTAGGGTTAAACACAAACCTGCTGTGTTATCTTTTAATTTTACACTGATATTTCTGTCAGGCTTCAGGAGTAAGGAGTTTTGTTTCTGTCTCAGAGATGTTTCTTGTGAAGATGTGCAAATGAATTGAGGTTGAAAGGTAAAAAAATATTACTTCGGGAGAGACACTCCAGGTCACCCTCCGTTACACCATTCCTGTGGTGTTTTGGAGTGCATTTGATCTGGCATGGGACCAGAAATTCACATTACCAATATCAACACCCATCCCCCCTACGACTGCCACTGATGTTAGCAGCAGCCACTAATGGTGTTGCCCAGGGGATGTGTAATGTGCTCTATAAGCTTTACCGTGTTACTCTGAACTCCAATATCCTTCTGTGCTGTTGATACCCTCACTGGTGCACACTGATGCCTGTTCTTTCACGCCAAGCATTTGAGCAGCTCTGCTCCATGATTCCTCCTTTTGTCTCCTGACAGTCTGCTTCTTCCCAGGCTTCAGTTGTTGCTCTCCCCAGAGTGCAGAAAAGTGATACTTTTTCAGGTTATTTCTCTGCAAACTCACAAGAAAGTGGGTGTCATTCCAGTCTGAGCTCTTTGAAGACAGCACTTCGGCAGTTACAAACTGTGACCTTAAAGACAGTTGTGGCCACAATCAGAGCAGAGTCTCTGAGACCACCTTCACCATCTCAGTCTGATTTATGGGTCAGATATTTGCATAAATTGAATTACTCTGCCATTAAAGTCACTGGAGAAACACGTCAAAGATTTCAGCTGACAGCTTTCCTCCCATGTACACATGAGGACCGTGAGATACATTACATTAATTGTGAAGGCATGTACTCTTACTGTATTTTCTGGACCCGGAGTATGCAGGGCATATGTTATGCATGCCTAGACTTCATGGGAGTGCTGGTCTCACTGATCTGCTGCAATCATATGTTAACACATTAATTAACAGATTATAATGACAGCTGAAATTTGCTGTAGTGATTTCCACCAGTCAGTTCTGCCACTAAACATCTCTTTTCCACATACATTGGTAGTGAAGTTAAATGCTTGGCTAGGATTTTTTCCCTTAATGTCAGTGACTGGTTGATGCTGTGTTAGCAAAGTCATCTGTAAAGAAGAGGTACTGTCTGAGGGCTGTTTAATAACCACAGTGCTCATCATCTTTCATAAATACCTCTTGGTTTGTGATAACCCAAACCCTCTAGTCTTTTCTGAATCATTAGAGACTGGTTTACTCATTATAGCCTACAGGCCAAAAATGATGCTTCAAAGACTTAGTCTCACTAAGTCTCAAGACAAATTGAAGTAATTATTGTTTTCATTTGAATATTTAATTTGATTAAGCTGCAATGATATGCTTTTTATTCCTGAGCCTGTGAAATCAGTTGTCTCAAGAACCACATATATACATGCTGCATTCAAAATCTGCCCTCAGAAAAGATCAGCTGCCATGAGCCCTGCACTGGTTTGCTGTTGGGAGAAATGATGGTGATGGAGGGAGTGCTGGTCCTGCACCTCCTGCTGCTGTGGGTGCTAGCAAGGATGACACTGAGAGCCTTATTCAGCCCATGTGGTCGCTCTCAAAGGAGGGGGTGTTCAAAGGGATGCTGACTAGCAGACCGCATTCAGCCTCCTCTTCAAGCATGGAGGAGCAGCTGGGCCACAGGGAACATGTATGTGTGTTTAGGAATGGAGGGTCAAAGTACACCAGGTTTGAGCATAGAGCCAGCAAAGGTGAAGGTTCAACAATGAGTGAGACTCATTCTGAACTTGCAAAAGTTGAGGTGAAAAAAATGGTTGATGTTGGAGGTAGAAAAGATAATCCAGGAGCTGCAATCTGCATTACAGGAGGATCCAAAAGACAAGAGGTGGGTGCAGAAGAGGGACTACAAGAACTCACTTGAGAAGCAGCTAAATTGCACACCCTGAAATGTAATGTTAACCAGAAATATTCCAGAATTAGCAATTAAATGAAAATTTTTGCTTTACCAAAATGATACAAACTACCACTCCCTGGAACATGCTCATAACTAGATAGAATAAATAAATAACATTGCTAAGAACGCATAGAAAAGCCTAATCTTTAGTGGGTGTGCTAGATAAGAAGTGCTTCTTCATGTCTTCAGGCATGCCAAAAAGGCATTACAGTAACAGGCACTCCAAATAGTGCTGAGACAGCCCATATTGTGAAGAGGGGACTCTCTCCCTCCACCCCTGCCAAACACACACATTTCTTTGTACATTCCAAAGCAATATTTTAAAAGGCTGTGGGAAAAAATAACCATGCCTTTAATTTATGTATAAGTGGATTTGGGTATTCTTTCCTAGAAAATCTGAGGTGACATTGTGAAATGCCCAACAGTTTGCTGCTCTCTTTAAAATTGGGCATTTACTTGGTTTTTATTAAGTGAACTATGTCCAAAGGGTTTACTTAAACATTGATGTATTTAATTGGTCTAATTTTTTTCAATCAAATTAAAGTGTTTGTACAACTCCATCTCTACAAAGAGGAGTCATTCTTCAACTGAAGATACTGCGCCCAGGATTTAATTGCATTCAATAGATGTGCTTTGCTAATGAGGATGGAGAGTAATCTCCGTAAATAGACAGACGGAGAGACTGGTGCACCTGTAGAGGGGCCTGCTGTCTGCTCTTCTCTAGCAATTGTTTTTTGCCATCATGAAAAAAAAGCACAGTGATAGATTAGGGCTTTGACAAATTACCTCTGGCAAATCTTGTTGGGGAGTTAAGGCCATGACAGGTCTCTGCCATGTTCCTCTGCTTGTGGTTCCCAGCTTCTGGCAGTCAGCAGGATCTGTATGGAGGTCTTGGGGCCCCACTCCATATTGCAGCATCTCATCTTAAATCATGGATGGAGCCAAGTTCCCACCAGAACACCAGTCTGTGAACTGGAGCAGTCTTCTGCCACTGTTTTTAGGGTGGTAACTCCTAGAATTAGGGCAATATAAATAAATGGGCAAGATAAAAGACATGCTTATGTTTTAAACTAGCGCAGTTGTCTTCCCAGTGACGAAGTCAAAATCCTTAGTCTAATTAGCATTTGGCCCAGGCTAATGACTGAGGTGGGAACTGGAGTTATAAACCAGCAGTGCTTGAAGGGACTGCCTTTCACTTTTCCTAAATGTCTGAGGATGGATCAAAATCATCTTAATCTCTTGTCGCTGCACAAGCTGTAATTGTTATACTGCATTATTTACACCCTGGAGCTGCCTGTGCACCCATTCAGGACAGCACTGACGTGGCATAACAGTACAGAGCTGCTGACTGAAGGGTGTGAAAGTGAGTCAGATCTATACAATCCCATCATCTGCAAAAGGAATTATCAGGCAATTTCCCAAGAGCAAGCATCTTTATAGCATATCATATAGCACACATTCAGTTTTGCTGAGCGAGAGGCACTAATACCATTTTGTTTTCATTTGTAAATGTACCGCACAAGAATAACAGATGAAAAAAATGAGGGTTTTAGTAGAAGATTCATTAAAGTGAGGGACCCAGCATTAAGGTGAGAGTATGCATTAAACTGAAGACTGCATGAGACATTTGCAAAAACCACATTTTGCAAAACTTAAACTGTGTGAAGAAATTTTCTGAACTTGCATGCTTTTTTTTAAAGGGCAATGTGAGTGTATATGTGTGAATACATTAGTATTGGTCTTGAATGTCTGAAATCAATATGAGACTTCATTTTAGGCCATTGATTTCCCTAGATGTGCATGTCGAGACTGCTCAGTGGTTGCATGCTCATTTCTGTTGCGATGGGTGCAGAGGCAGCTAAATCCCACAGAAGGTCCCAGAGAACATGGAGCATGCTCAGTTTAACTCACAAAATCGAGCCTCAGTTGGCATCTGATGAAACAGCACCTAAGAGCCCAAACAGCAAAATGGTTATCTGGAGTAAGATTCATTTATCTAAACACAGATGACTCATGCCATTGTAGGTGCCCTAGGAAATTTCACCTGGCTTCCATCTGCCACTTCCCTGCCACCAAATGTATGAAATGATATTATG